TTATGACCGACTCGATAGTAGGCAGACACGAAAGCCATGTTGCGGGTCTGAAAAAGAAAATGGAGCCACTGTACGGGAGATCACTGCAGGCAGATCAATTATATTTTGGGTTCGTATTCGACAGCCACCTGGGGAGTTACGCGGTCCGATAGACTGAGGTCCTTCAGACCTAAAGCACCCTTCCTCTGCGACATTTCTTCTTCGTCCATCTCTCCTGTCAGGTGCTCGTAGAATTCGGGAGTCAGTCCCGCCTTCTCCCGATCGTCGATATTGAACGGGCCCTTGACGTTTCCTCGCCAGCCTTTGCGTACCTCTTCGCGAAACGCCGCGACGGGGTCCCTTCTCCCCTCCTGCTCGCAGAGCCAGGTGAACCACCGGTGGCCGGACGTCACATGTGTCACCTCGTCCGCGTGGATGATCTCCATTGCGGCGACGCTCGCAGCGTCGCCCGCGCGGCGGAAGCGCTCGATCGTGCCCGGGTTCACATCCAGCCCGCGCGCCTCGTGGACAAGGTGGATGATCGCGAGCCGCGCGCTAAGTGAGTGCGAGGTGATCGTTGCAGACTCCCAGAGCGACGCGTGCACGGGGAGCGTGCCGTACGGCGTGGTTGGCGACGTCGCAGATAGGCGAGAGGTCAGCAGCGAGCTGTTGCGGTGAGTTTTTGCGTATGGGGTTCATTTGAGGTCTACGTACAAATGCTTGGACTCGTCCAGCGCCATTTTCGTAAAGTCGGAAAAGAAGGCGGGGGGCAGGTCCGGGTGCGATGGGCCAAAGCGCGCCATGATGTCCCAACTTAAGGAATATATAAGTCGATTTCAAGCTGGCTGCACATATACGTACGCGAGGTCGATGCTTATACATGCGTCAGTTGCGCTGCAATCGAATCAAAGTGGGGACTCACGCCCATTGTTCCACATTCGCAAGGGCATGGAGCATAACCTGGCCAGTATTAACAGGAGCAGAGGGGAATCCTAAAAATTGAGCTACCGCGAGGCTTTTTCTGCCCTTGACCTTGCCTGGATTCACTGTATTCCGTAGAAAACTTTCTTCCCGTGGAGGAACGTCTGGTGGGCGAGGAGCCGAAGACGATTTGTGACCTATCGAGTCGAGCTTACCCGTTCTGAAGAGCTGAACAGCATGCCGAGTGCGCATGACCTTCAGTGTTGGATTAGCAGTGTTGAGAATCAAAACCGCCCATTGCATCAAGGTTTTGGGTGGGTCGGACTCGGGGACGACAGGCTCCACTACTTCGGGGTTAGCCAGAACAGGATTTACGACAGGTGGCTGGGAGACTGGCGGTGGATCCGCGAATTCTGGACGGCAGTGAGTGGCACACAAAATCCGCGTCAGGCGTCCACACCTTCAGATACCGGTCGCAGTTCAATCAGTCGCCAGTTGTCGGCGCCGGCAGGGGTCTCGATGTAGACCTTCTCAACATCATCATCCGGGTCGGGCCTCACTTCGACTGAGTACGTGCATGCTCTGAGGCCGGTCTCGCTCTTCCCAGTGCGCAGATCAAAGTCATATCTGTCCGGATGAGAAATTCTTTTAAACTAAATACAGCAAACTCACCTATGCCAGGGACATACTGCGACGGTGGTGTCCTCGTACTCCTCTATATCGGCATGGGACATGTCGGCGCCTAAATGCGGGCAGGTGGACTCCATGACATAGATCTGTCGATTTGCAGCCTTCTCGAGCATTCCAAGCGGCCTTGAGGATGCGGTCGGATTGACGTCCGAGACAGCGTCGGAAAGACGAAAAAGAATCAAAGAATGGTATTTTCCGTGTTCTGACCGGAGGGTCAACAGGAAGCGCGAGTGAGTTAAGAGCTGCTTAAAGGGCGATATCCTGGGCTTAGTTAGCTACGACGTGAACCCTGAGCATATGAACGCACTGGAGAAACTTCATCGTTTGAGAGTCACTTGTTGCAGAAGCGTTCGGATCAGAAAACTGTTACAAATGCTGACAAAGCATGGTCCTTCTCTTCCCGAACCACCATCTTCGCCAATCGACAACGAGGTCAAAATATAGCTCACCCCACTGACATATCGTGGTTTCACGCAGTGTCTGGCCGGCCAAGAAATACGGCTTTTTTCCCTTTTTTGCATTCTTTTTTTTTTCTGCAGGGGTTCATCCCAAATGCTCTGGTGTGCGCACACGGAGTCCAGACAAGTACCCTACTAGCGTTGCTAGCGTTTCCCTGCGTTTCCCCGCATTTGCCTCCAGCCTCGTGAAGCTCGCGAAGGTGATGATATCAATCATCTGATGAAAAGAGACCTGACCTTATCAGCATTTCACGTTAACTCGACCCTGAAAGTTGCTCATCCCTCCGCCAATCTGGAGGTTCCAATTGCGCGCGGGTTATATCCATCCTAAAATTTCAATTTCCCTACATAATATACCCCTCATCTGTCAGGACAAGGTCGTGTCGCTTACCAACGGGCAATCGTCACGGGCAAGTTGTGATTTCCAACGGGCAAGGCGCGATTGTGATTTCGCATAAGGATGGCGTGCCGATAGCGGAATTTATAAATATTCCGTGATATAAGGCGCGTGGTACCAGCGTCTTCTCTGCTCTTTCCTCTTGCTTTCCCTCACGAAATATGGTTGCTGCTCCTTTCTCTGCCTTGGGCTCGCTGAGCACCTTCGATTCCTACGATGAAACGCCGCACATTGGGACGCGCTTCCCCAGCAAATCGACCCAGCTATCGCACATTCTTACGGAGCCGAACTCGGATGAGCTCCTGAAAGATCTCGCGACCCTCGTATCGCACCGCGGAGTCGTCTTCTTCACCGATCAAGACATCGACATCGAGAAACAGAAGGAACTGGGTAGACGTTTGGGAGAGTTGTCAGGCAAACCAGCCACCTCGAAACTCCACATCCACCCCATCTCCGAGCAGACCCCCGAATTGACTGCCGATGTGTCGGTGATATCGTCCGAGGGGTGCGTTCTATGCATGTATCTACTTCCGTCACGCTTTCTCAAGCTGTCTCCGCAGCGGCATTGCGCGAAACCGATACAGTAAATCTGCTCGGGCAAGCAATGGCTGGCACACTGATATCACGTTCGAACCTATCCCGTCCGACTACGCTGTAAGCCGCGCATGCCTCACTTCTTCTCTGATTATACTGAGAAAAGAACGCTGTAGATTCTGAAGATACACACTCTTCCTTCTGGTGAGAATCGAATACATCGAATCCCGCAATTATGCTGACAGTATACAGTTGGAGGGGATACGTTGGTACGTATGCCATGAAGCAGACTCATCGAACTTACTTGACTCATTTCTGTAGTGGGCGAGGTACGCGACAATCATCGAAAGTTAGAAGCACCATTTATTGACCATACTCAGCGGCTACGAAGCTTACGATAAACTCTCCTCGGCCTACCAAAGATTCCTCGAAGGCCTGACGGCGGTCCACGATGGAAGCGGCTTCAGGGAGGTAATTTCACAACGGGTTTTGTTGAGTAACAATACGCTGACCCTACAAATTTACAGTACGCGCAGAAGCAAGGCATACCTATCAACGACCCACGCGGTTCGCCTGAGAATACGGGGAGCCATTTACAGGCCGTACAGTATGTGCGCGACTCCTCCTATCTTGCACGAGCTGAGCTTCCGTCAGCCCTGTGATCCGAACGCATCCTGTGACCGGCTTCAAGAGCCTGTTCGTCAACAAAGGGTCTGCCTGACTTGTGCATCTTTACTTTCCACATTGACCATGCGCCAGTTTCACAAAGCGGATAGTCGAGCTGACTGAAGACGAATCGGACGATGTGTTGGCTTACCTGTTCAGGCACGTGTCTGAAAACCACGACATGCATGTCAGGTTCCGCTGGAACAAGAACGACGTTGCTATCTGGGACAACAGGTGGGTTTGTTCAGTGTTATTGTTTTCATCGTCGCTGACCCCAGGACAGGTGCACATTCCATACAGCAACGTAAGCCCAAATCACCGCCTTTCTTGATTTTTCAGCTGAAGCTTGGCGCAGAAACGACTACGAAGGTCTCCGTCAGGGAAACCGAGTCGTCAGCCTAGGCGAAAAACCCTATTTTGACCCAAGCTCGAAGTCGAGGAGAAAGGCGCTCGGGTTGGACGATGGAGAACCTTCGGCTAAGCAGATGATGTAGTTATGCAAATTGGTTTCATAGTTTTTCTTCACGGGCGGGACGAACATATGTATTATGCAAAGAGTTGAACACTGAGTAACTGAGTTGAGATCGGCAAGAACCTATCCTGCGGCCATACTTAAGTATCCCGTACAAAGGCTTAAATTTTTTTTTTTTGCGCAGCACGCAACACGACTTTCATGTCTGCGCACTATTTATCGTCGTAAACATCAGTTAATTCACAGCCAGTCCAATTAGATCGCTGAGAGCCGACATTGAAGAAGGCTTCTAAATGCAAGAGTGCCACATTTATCTGATCCTCATCGGGGACTCCATGGGCGCTGTAATGGCTTTGTGAGTTTTGTATGACGAGGAACCAACTTCAGCCATCTGGCGCGATCTGGAACCCTTGGCGTTCATTTATTCGGGTAGACGGACACAGTATGTCTACGGAGATCCGGAAATTTACTTGGTGCTTCCGGCACGAGCTCGGGTTCGGAATTCACCTGTTAGAAGGCCTATTTATGCGCCGGCGCTCCAGGCTACAGCAGCGGGTGGGACCATTGTTCCACTAACGGCGTCCTAATAAACGCATAATCACGCATGCCCCGGTCATTTTTCCGCGGAGTTTCACTGCCTCCGCTCCAAATTGTAAATATTTCCCATTTAGGTGCCACGGACGCGATGTGTTTGTGCTTGTTATTTGTGATTTCTTTTGAGTTTTCCAACTCTGGTGGATTAAGCTCAATGAAAGCCTCACTCTAGCCATTTTGATTACTGTGAGTATGTCAGACCCTGACTGGCTCTAGGACTGGAGTTTTATATGTCTTGAGTGGATGTTGGTAGTGACACCAATACGTTAAAAAAGCGAAGATGCACAATGGCCTTGTGGCAAAATGGTTACTGCGTTGCTTTCCGACTTAAGTTTGATAGGCAGAGACTCTGGGTTCGAATCCCAGCTCGGTCGTTTTGTTTTATTTCACGTTTCCCACACCAACTGGCTCTGGTTTTCAAGATTGTTTCCCGCAAACTTTTGCCTTTTTTTCCCCCAATACGCCCAACAGGTCGAAATCAGCCTTGTAGAAAAAAAGTGGAAATCAGGCTGAATTTTTTTTAGTGATACGGAGTAACCCGGTTGCAGAAACACATCGGAGACGTCAGTCCACTCACCGTTCAGGCCAAGTTTCGGCGTTTTCGTGTGAGGCCCCGCATGACACGTTTCGCCTTTCCTTCCGCATGGATAGGTAAGGAAGTAAAGTAAGCTCCGACCTCGGGGTCGGCAACCTCTGTCTTTCGTTGGATGGATAGTTTCTGTGAGCGCGAACGTTTCATCATATGGGAAAAAAAAAACTGTGTAAGCATCTCGCTATCGACCAATATAAAAGGATCCAAGGTACTTCCCCAGTTCTATCTTTCCTTTATTTTAACCATAAATTAGTATGCACGCCAAGTTCTCCTTTCTCGCCCGCCGCATTGGCACTGGATCCCGCGGCCAACGCGCGCAGCCTGCTCCGAGGCCGACCGTTCCGGAGTGCTCCAGGTCGTTCCCTCTAGTGTTGCCGCCGGCTAAGCCGATCAATTTCAGAAAACTGCCCTGCAGCTCCAGGTAAAATAGCGAGAATTGCGAAAATATTCAAGCGAATGGATCTTCCCGAAGGCCGAGGACTCTCTCATTGGTGCTAAGCAAGACACCTGATCCTTGTGAAGATATTCGACCGGCTTCTAAACGGCTAATTTTTGAGCCGTTTAGAAACCGGTCAAATATCCGGCAACCAACCACACTGAACACTTAGGCCTTAGGGCTCACATGCGCTCACAGAAGACCCTCCGGCTTTTTATGTCCTCTACCTGCTCAAATATTCTCAAAAATTTCCCGCTTTTATTCGCAGCTATATTTCAATTTTTTGAAATTGACCGGCTTAGCCGGCAGCAACACTAGTTCCCTCCACAGTACTTACTAACCAGGTAATCTGCGCTACTCAATCATGGGTCGTCCGACAATATCACTTGTTTCGCAAGTCGACCTGGAGTGTGCGCATCTGAGAACGGATGCCTCCCGACGCGGACGATGGGAAAAATTGCTACTCCACTCCATACACTGTCTCAATTATCAAATAGTCTTCGACGGACCGCGAATCGCTCGATCCTGGGGGACCATTCGGTAGGATGCCAGTTGAACATCGGCCAGGGGAGGACGACGAGCTAGAATAGTTCGCCGTTGTTGAGGAAAAGAACTTTCGTTGTTGTGAGGAAAAAGGAAGAGTCAACGTCCTGAACATCCCAGTGCATGAAGCCGGCTGCATGTGTCGTGTAGGGAGGAGGCGCAGATGGTAATAGAACTGAGGGGTTGATATTGACATTGCTGTGAAGATGGCGAGTGCGAGTGAATTGCCAGTAATAAAATGGATCTCCAAGCCCGTCGCTGCCCAGTTCCGCGGTCCATGAACGTGCATCGCGGTTATCTCGTGAGTCCAAAGCAGATATATACTGGTACAAGTACAGCAGTTGGCCTTAAAACCTCCAATAAGCCAAGACGTTGTCGATGGGAAAGAAGTTACTCCGTACGACGGATCCTTTTTCAGAGGGGGGAAAGCTCAATCCTTCTTCGGCGGGGGGAGTACGGGTAGCCATTCCGTCGGATGCCGGTTGAACACTGGCCAGGGAGGTAACACGAACTAGAAAACCCGTTGTTGAGAGAAAGAAGTGGGGCAAGGCGGACGACGCACCAAAGCCAGTAGAACCGTCGATGTTCCGAATATCCCGAATGTTAGCTGCAGCGATTGGAGTGCAAAGCCGATGATGAACGAAATGATCTATGTAGACCGCGTGAGTTTGCTAATCGAGAATGGGTATAGATGGACGAACGGTGGACCCGATGAGCCAAACGCGCGAAATCTGCTCGACTTGCTGCTGGCCGACAAAATCCTGCCGGCGTGGCACCAGGGATGTCAGAACGACACAAAGAGAGGATCCAGTGAACATCATACGATTTTGCCTTCAGTAAATTGCTGCAAGAACGAGCTCATGACGGAGGTTACAGTAAGACGGAAGAGAAGCGAGACTGCGACGTGTCTCATGTGGTCGGTTGTTTGCTCCGTTGACAGGTGGCTGTGCAGCAGCCCCTATCTCCAGAAGGAAGTCCTTTATAAGTGGGCTTTCGCTCGACTCCGACTTGAAGACATGCATAGTTCCAGTAAACTCATTCCTCTTCCAATTAATCGAAGTTAAATTTTATAGACAACCGCAGAAACTTGGACTGGCAAGGACTGGGAACTTTTGAGAAGTCTCGAAATTTTGCGCCATCTTCGTACTACAGCCCAAAAGTCGACTTCACGCTGCCTTGTAATTGTCTATAGTCTTGCTCCCTGTGCATGGCAGAGAAAATTGAGGCCGTCCCGGCGTGGACACTTTCCCCGTTCAAACTCGATACATATCCGTCGGGAGCTACCATCATTACACGTTACACAAGTTCAGGTATCACGGGATGTCTGACAGAAAGGGTATACGGAAAAGACTGGACCACTGTGCTTCATCAGCAACGAAAAAAGAAGGAGAGGGAGGCATAATTTACCTGAATAGTCCAGACGACCACGTTACCGACCGTTCATATTCATCCCCATTGTCGTCCAGTGGGTTTAAGATGTTGAATACGTGCAGAATTGAGGCAACGAACAGAAACGAGGAATCTTCCGCAAAGAAGCGCCCCGGGCAGACACGCTGTTTGCAAATTCCGTGAGAACACTGGAAATCCAAAGATGAGAGGATGGCTTTACCCGTCCGAACCCAAAGGCAAATGAAGGGTCCACTTCCTTCTCATCCCCCATGAATCGTTCCGGGATGAAGGATTCTGGGTCTTTGTACGTGTTGTCGTCGTGGAGAATGGCCCTAGGGTACAATGATGCACAAGCATAAATGGTCGAATGCTCGCCGGGGACACGTCAGCCTTTGTATTCAACATCGTCTCAGTTGTATAGTGTGGTGCAGCTGAAGGTGAGGCAGAATGAGCATGCATCGATGCAACGAACAAGTGGCTATACCTATTGCGACTACTGGCTGCCATCGCAAGGGCTCCTTGATGGAAGTAGGTCAAATTATCTCGATCTTCGAATTCCGGCAGGCGATGTCGCCCAACGACCGTGTCAAGTCCGCCTGGGCTTTTCGCTGCACATCTGGATAAATCATCATAGCCAAGATGAAGTCCATCAATATATGATTGTTTTCGTTATTTATTTCATGCACTCGAGTGAATATTGCAACAGCATCTGTTCGCGACGACTTGATTTTTTTCGTTCACTCTTTACCCTTCTGCTCTTGACTTCCATTGTCGCCCAGTGAGCTCCGTCCTTCACCCTGCCCTTCATGTCTGATCTCTCTTCTCTCAGAGCTGTTCTGCATCTTCAAGGTGCGTGTCAATGGTTGTCGCTGTCCTCGCCTCGCTGACATCTCTCTTTACAGACTCTCGCGCGCATCGGCCTCACGAGGGAACAGGGCGAGACATTTTTATTCTTCGGTGCGTCCTCACTTTTTCTTCCTCCTGGCTGTTGCTGATTTCTTGCCCGTTCATTTCCAGATCCCAACACGCATCGTTTCCACCGTAGGAGGGCCGAGCATATGGCGCGCGATCCGAAGGCAGTTCGTGAGCATGTTGATGCGCGCGATGAACGGACTGCTAGTAAGGGAGCGGGTGCTGTGCTTGTGTCGGACAAGGACGGGCTTCAGAAGGGCTTGCGGGAGACATCACTGTGACTGCTCGTCTGGACGTTGGTGCTGAAGCTGGCCAAATGCACATCGCCTTTGTTCTAAAGTGCGTCTTCATATTTCTTTTTCCATCCCGCTTTTACTGATTCCTTTCCTTCAGCGTATGGGGAGCATTTACGGCGGGATATCCGTTTAATTACATTTCTCCGACCCCCCATTTCCACTTCGTAGATAGTTCCCGGGGGACGGGTTCGCAACCCTTCGTGCCTCCTTGACGTGGACCCCTGGGCTTGCGACTCTTTGGAGTTTACCAAGTGCACGAGAATTTGCTTAGTTGTACTTCATAATATAATTTGTTTTCTCCAGTTCCTTCGTGAACCTGAGTGAATATTGCAACAGCATCTGTTCGCGACGACCTGATTTTTCGATTCCCTTCTTTGGCTTTTCATTGGCGTGTTCCAAGAGGCTTCAGATCGTCTAATCGCGCACATTGATCAACATACGTAAAGCGGCACGTGCTTTCGCTCCTTTTGGAATTTTCGTCAGCAGAAATTGTTAGTTGGACCAAAGGAGCGTTCGACGCTCTTCGCAGACTAGTACTTAGTAGCTAATGACTACTAAAATACATCCTCTTCAACTACTGAGGCTGTCCTACCGGCTGCAGTAGCTTTTGATATCTTCAATTGTAGAAGTGCATTAGCGACAGAAAAGGTTGAAGTATGTGCAGTGTTCCATGGCGTAGAGGTTGCTGGGCCGAATGGCAAGGGAGATAGATGACCATCTTCAAGAGTGTTGGTTGGCTAGTGAGGATATGGTACCGTATGTGCAGTATCTACATTGCTGGGTGTTGCCGCCTGAGACGCGTTCACGGTGCGGAAAGGTGGCGAAAGGGCTACTTTCATGTGGGAAGAGTTGCAGAGCGATGGTAGGGCCAGAAGAGGCCCTACTGCGTTGGAAGAGTCGACGAGCGCGGCACTTTGTTGAGTGGCGCAAAAAGACCGTGGATTGATGGGACTTCCGCATTTGGGGGGGGGGGGGGGGGGGGGGGGGTGTGTTACGTATGTTGATCAATGTGCGCGATTAGACGATCTGAAGCCTCTTGGCGTGTTCTGCCAAAACCGACTCCGGCTTCCAGCACGCAGAAATAAGTTCGAACATCGGCGTGGTTTTCCACGCGCTGTTTTTGGGTTGCATTCGCGTTGCTGTTCAAGAAATATGTACACGCTTAGGTTCAAAATAATACAGCAGATCGGAAATGGCGACTAAGAG